CATTCTAACATAGTTGACACAACTATCACTAAATCCATTATATATCTGGTCCATGTGTTGTTTTCTATTTTGATATTACTTTATTTTCTCCTCACTAGGACCTGCACATATAGATCTAGTCTACTTTGCATTCTCCTCATGAATGTCATAACCATAACTAAAACAGATAGTGCAGCACCCGAACACATATTAACTATTGTCTCTTCGTCGAGATCACCATCCATCTAAAATACAAGCGTCATATTAAAGTAGATACTAACATTAAAGGCAAATAAAACAAGTCATTTAGAAATATGTGCTATTGAGGTGCTGGAACATGTGCTATTGAGGTCAATAAGTTAGTCTGCACATGAATTTTCTTATTGAATCGTATGTGCAAAAGTTACATAACTAATAATATTCATTCGAGACAACAAGGTCCAGTTGATTGAAATTGGACTAATGTTGGGTGTTTAGGTGTCTCCTTTGTGTGTGAGCGCGTGTGTTTTATGTTTTTTTCCCGTGCATAATTTTGACAATCATATAATTAAAAATAAACCTTATTTTAATTTATATATTTTTCTTAAACACTATCACCCACTTGCATGCAAGAACAGGTGTTTAATAAATCATGCAAATTTCATAGAAATTCAACTACTTTGGGAAACTTAATCATTACATAAACTAATATCCACACATTTCTGTTTTGTATTACCTTTCAATTTTATTTATTTATTTCAGTTTAATCACTACATAACCTAATCTCTTTATTGTAATTACCTTCCAATTTTATTTATTTCAATTTTGTATTGGCTAGCAATTTAACTTGCAAACCAAGGGAGAGATTTGATGTAATATATGTTTTGTTCATATTCTTCCCCTGATCAAACCATATATAGAAATTTCAAGTATAGTGACTCACAAACTTAATCAATAACTTCCTTCTTTATCTCAAAACTTAATAATTTCTATAATTTACAAATTCTTCCTCTGTACCGTACATCCCTAATCTAAATTTCGAACATACAATAAAATCTAAACTTTAATCTACAAAAGAATTTACATTTTCACCCAATTCAACCACACATAAAATAGATCACAGACTAAAACCCTAGGGCATTTACCTGAAATTATGAAAAAAAAATTATGAAAAGAAATTAGGGCATTTACCTGTTCATCTTCGTCGACTTCAGGCACCAAAAATCGTCACTAACGAGGGATTAGACGCAAGGGAACGAGGAATTCGTGTTCGTCGGCTTCGAGCTCCAAAAACTGCCGATGATGAGGGATTATGGGCAAGTGAACTAGAGATTAGAGGTTGGAGAGAGAGAGAGAGGGAGCGGTGACGAGATGAGGAGGTGGGAGAGAGAGAGAGAGAGAGAGAGAGAGAGAGAGAGAGAGAGAGAGAGAGAGAGAGAGAGAGAGGAGAGAGAGAGAGAGAGAGAGAGAGAGAGAGAGAGAGAGAGAGAGAGACGGAGCACACTTTTCGCTATTTTCGGCAAAATTGGGAGCTTCAGAGCGGAAAACAAAACCACTGAAAATCGATCGTGGAAGTCCTAATTCTCCCACTTTCCTTTTTTCTTTTTGCGAGACAAACATCGGATTGTAAAGTAAAATGAGGCTCATTTTCCTGTGTCAGATTTCTTAACCCCATTTTATAGGCTTTTTGGCCCAAACAAACAGCCCCTTACAGGAAGCCCCCCGAAACTGCAACAGAATTATGCCACATCATATTTACAAAACAAAAAGAAAAAAGAAAGGAAAAGAATTGTGAGGACTGCAGTCGATCTTTTTTTTCCAGTTTGGCTTGGCGTTTTTACCTTGAAATCATCATGTATTTGAATATTTCGCTTGATTTTATAATTGAAATATTTATTTTCTTCTTTTGAGGTAAAACTGCTATGGCACTAATCTTGTAGTGTTTTATTAGATAGGAATTTGCGCTAAAGCTTTTCATAGTTTCGGAATTTTAGTACAGTCAAAAGGATCCTTTGATATAGTGTCACAGTAACTCATACTTGAATCTTGACGGCTGCCAATTTCTAAACATATTTTTAAAAAAATTAATATCAATGTTTTCGCCTTGAAATGCAGGAGCATATTAGAATATAAAATTAACTCTCTCCCAGGGTCATTTGACATAGGATAAGAAATGTGTGTTTTTTCAGCAAATGATTATGTGAAACATAAAATCTATGGACAAAGTCTTAAGTCCACAACTAAATAGTCTATTTTATGAAACAAAATCACAAACAAAGAAGCAGAAATATCCATATTACTCTATGTGAACAAGGATCACAAACACTAAATTGAGGAAAGTAGACATCCTGTGTCTCAATAAAGTATTCTGCGCACAAATATAAAACCTTTCACCATGCAAAGCTTTAGATATTGCTCAAGTTAGTGAGGGCTCATAACTCATAGTGCCTTCACCTCCAACAAGCCTTATAACCCACTTCTTATCTTCATCTTTACACGAGTCACAATCTTTTCACAATCCAAAAACCAATGCAATGTGATTATGATTCATTGTCCACTTGATTCCAGTAGATTTTTTTTTTATATTGATAGTTTGTTGTTTTTCATTAAACAAATCTCATCATTGCACATGCTAGTGGTTCAACTTGCAAGCAAACTTCATTAGATTACTGCTCTCTGGTTGTTGATATTGTTTCATCCTCTGCAACCGCAAGCCAAAATACCCTTTGTTTTTCTGGATAAAGCTAAGGAATGTGCATTGTAAAATAATTTCAGATATGCATGCTGCTGGTGGATCAGATACATGATTAAGATTCTGTCAGGGTTATTCAAAAAACATTTTGGGTGCCTGTAAAATATATAATAATATTGGATAAGAAAATTTGTGGGTTCATTTCTGACTCCACTGGGATTAATTTTTATATCCATCGGGAGGGCCTTGAATGCATTATTAGCTGCCTATAAAAGTCTACCAAGAGAACAACCAACTGCCGGAAAAACTGAAGTCACTTCTTCTCTCAATCCTTTCCCCTTTCCTCTCATTAGCTATAGCCATGGTGAGCTCCAAGGCCATGGTCATGGCTTTTGTGGTTGTGCTTGCTATTCCTACCCTTCTCTTCTCTTCTCATACTTTTGCAGAGCTACCAAGGCTTGAACACTCACTAAAGAGTGATGGGTCATTGAGCCTTTTGGTCATTGGAGATTGGGGAAGAAAGGGAGAATTTAACCAATCACAAGTTGCAAATCAGGTATTATATCATAACTATTTATCATTATTTTTCTATATGATGATGCACTCTGCTCTATTCATTTGCTGAAATGATGAAAGTTTTAAGTTATTTAACTGCTATATGTATAACACAACAAATGCATTATTTTCCTTATAGTAACATCCCCTCAGTTCCCTCTTGGTTTGGATGAACTGAGAGTAATTTTGCTTGATTTGAAATTTTTGAGCATAGATGGGAAGGATTGGAGAAGAACTTGACATAAACTTTGTGATATCAACCGGAGATAATTTCTACGACAATGGACTGACCGGTGTGGATGACAAGGCATTTGAGGAGTCATTTACCAACATATATGCTGCTAAGAGCTTGCAGAAGCAATGGTATAGTGGTAGGTATTTCTAAGCTTCGTATATTTCTCTCTTCTTGATTACAGCTCAATTACTTCTGTTCACTGTATGCAGTTTTGGGGAATCATGATTACAGAGGAGATGTGCTAGCACAACTTAGTCCTGTCCTTCGCGAGCTTGATCGCAAGTGGCTTTGTATGAGATCATTCATTCTTGATGCAGGTTGAAAGAAAAAAAAACCTTATTAGGCTAATTCAAAATCTCATTTTGAGGTCTGGTTGAAGGTAAATTTTTTCTAATATTCTGCCTTATTTATGACAGAAATTGTGCAGTTCTTCTTTGTGGACACTACTCCTTTTGTGAAATCATATTGGAATGACACACAGATTCACAATGATTGGAGGGAAGTTGCTCCTCGACAAAATTATATCACAAATCTCTTGAAGGTATGTATATATTCTTTCAGACTTTTTTTAATTTCGTACCATCTCCTACTTCTTAATTGTTTGATAAAATAAGATTGTTTTGGTGTTAATATAAAGGATTTGGACATGGCATTGAAAGAATCCACAGCAACATGGAAGTTTGTTATCGGACATCACACAATTAGAAGTGTTAGCGTGCATGGAGACACAATTGAACTTGTAGAAGAGCTTCTCCCTGTCCTCAAAGTAATAAACTTTTTGAACTGTTCATTCACTAAAGTATTGCTTCAATCTAGCCCGATGTATCCTAATATTTTTTTGCGTATTGCAGGCTAATAATGTCGATTTATATATGAATGGGCATGACCATTGTCTCCAGCACATTAGTAGCAAAGATAGGTAAGCTCCCGAATCATATTTTTCTTGCAATATTACACAAAGTTAAACATTAAATGATCCATCTTCATGTAAGTTTTCTAATATTGTTATCATCCTTTCCTCAGTCCGATTCAGTTCATGACAAGCGGAGGTGGTTCAAAATCATGGGGAGGTGTCTACAGGCCAAATTCAGACGAACTGCAATTCTTTTACGATGGCCAAGGGTTCATGTCCCTGGAATTGACAAAGAGAGATTTGAAGATGGTATTCTACGACGTATTTGGACAAAATTTGTATGAATGGAGCACGACAAAGGATGCATACCCCTCGATGTAGGTATCTTATGGGTAGGAATTAGATGTCATTGCATCGTCCATTTATCGTCTCTGAGTTCATCATGTTTGGAAAGTGGCATATGTATCATCTTACTAGTGATACATGGTAAACCTATCAGAACAAGCTAGTTATTCTGCTAGCTTTGTTTTCGCTACAATGTTGGATTTGGATTAAGTTTCTGACACACGAGAATATACACATATCTCATTGCCAATGGTGTGTTCCATAACAAATAATAAAAATAATAAAAATAAAAAATAAAAAATGAAAAGGAAAATTGAAGAGCTGTTCTTAAGCGCATTTCTGGCTTCGTATATGCATTTATGCATGCCTTCACCCTCTTTGTTGCCACCCACTTGAGGCACACTGGACAGCCTCAACTTGCTCAGAACAAATCGCTTCATCTTAAACATGCTCTCCTCTACTTCTTTTTTCTGCGACACAAAAGAGAAGTAGAAGGTTAAAGCTCCGAACGCAACTGAGAATTCAGAAACAATGTAGATGAATAATGTTTGCCTTCTGTAGGGTCTAGGTTAAGAACAATGAATACATTTTTCGCGACAGGGGTAAGATCCCACACCCAAATTCTTGTGCAGCAGAACTGATGACTCCAGTACCAAGCTCTTAATGCTCTTCCTGCAGTAATCTTTGTAATACCCCAACCCTTGAGAGGGTGATGTGATTAGTATTAATAGATTTGATTGGAATACTCATACGTGATTAGTATTAATAGATTTGATTGGAATACTCATACCACCAAGATGCATCTTCTTTTCGGGAACCCAACTCTTAGAAACTTGATTGGAATACTCATACCACCAAGATGCATCTTCTTTTCGGGAACCCAACTCTTAGAAACTCCAAAGTGTGCTGAAAAGACATGTGGTGGTTCGTGAGGCCAGTCCATCGGATCTAATAACGTACCGACTCCGGGATTCCGGGACGGGGCGTTACAATCTTATTCGTCTATGATCAAAGCACAATGTACAGACGCGAGGCCTGATAATCCAGCACCAACAATCACCACATCCTAAACTGACATCATTTCTTCCAGGGGACGGTAACATGATCAAGGATCAAACAAGTGAAAGATTGATGGAGAGATTAGTGCAAGTGATTATAGAGATAGGAATTAGGATATGCACGCACAAGCACATTCACGGTGACTTGAACTTCATGTGATTTTATTGAATACATATTCTTATTCTTCTCTCTTTTTCTGCCTTTTCCTCATAATGCACAGTGGATAATGTAACACACATCATTTCAACAGATTTAGGTGGTCAATATCACAGAAATATAACAGCTGGAATGTTGGAGAACAGATCATGAGAAATTTTACAACAGCAGTCATCTTATTAGATTGCGGATGCTCCAGACTTCTGCATCCTTCATACAAGTAGCAGTCATAGGACACAAGAAACTCCTCTATGAGGTTCGCGGAGAAATTCTGCAGCAATCCGCTCAAAAGTCCGAACTTCAAACAACTCAAAATAGAAAGGTTTCGATCCATCAAGTTATATTTAGGTCTCCCCAATGAAAACAAACTGTAGAAGAACAAATTTTAGATAAAGAATGTACCCGGAGCAGGAATATTCTGAAAACTTCTGCTCCTTGCCCGAGTCTAACTAATACTTAAATTCATTTTTCAGAACAAAAAATAAAAGAAATTTCAGACAACAAAGTTACAACAAAAAGCACTCAAGGATAGCCAGACAAGTAGAAATTTCAGAATGCTACAAGTTCAACATCTTTGCAAAGGAAACCAAATAATAATGAATGGACAGACCAAAGATTTTGTTTCTTAATAAGCTACAACAAATAGATAAGAAAAGAACAGAAAAGAATGCAGACCCAACATCCCACAATATGATGCGAGCATTCTATTTCCTCCAGTCACACCTTTCCAGTCTCACAAAATTAGAAGCATTTCCTATGCACGATCGATGGGCCAGACTCATCATACTCTGCCTTAGCGATCCACATCTGCCAATTTAAGAACATTATAATCAGTAGTTTTCATCAACACAATTTATTCAATGTAACAGAGAAGGAGAATGTTGTATAAAATATGTAGTAAGTGGTAACTAATACTTGTATTATACAGATAAACCCAGTACAATGTGAATATAAAGCTAGGGATCAAGCTTCAGAATTTAGGGTAAAAAACAATTGCTGAGAGTTCAGGGTGAGCTTAGTCAAAAGACTTTATACTCTTTGTATGTCATATATGTAAAAAAAAATAAAAAAATAAAGTAAGCAAATAAAATATGATGGTTGCAATTTTGCATGTCATAATATAAAACACAAAATCAAGCATAAAGCACAAGATTGCAAACAATGGTAATATTTCACCCATGTCTGATAGACTTCAGTCCTCATCTATAAGTATATCTTGCTATTTGTTAAGTTATAACATTATGCAGGAAAGAAAATCATCAACAATTAATGTAATTCATGAGTTCGTAAACATAGGTTGTATTAATGCCTACACAACCAAATAGTTTATAAACATGCGTCATGAACAAACTTCCAAAATTAGAATGTTGTGACTCATATGTGTGTGTATAGGCAATCTTTCGGCAGTAAAATAAATTGAAAATGGTATAGAAGTACAGAGCACCTGCTGGAAAGTGCTGAGGGATGCCAAGATGGAACCTCCAATCCAGACACTATACTTCCTTTCTGGAGGAGCCACCACCTTTATCTTCATACTGCTTGGAGCCAGAGCTGTAATTTCCTTGCTCATTCTATCAGCAATACCCGTGAACATGGTGGAACCACCACTGAGAACAATATTACCATATAAATCCTTCCTGATATCCACATCACACTTCATTATAGAGTTGTATGTGGTCTCATGAATTCCCGCAGCTTCCATTCCAATCATCGACGGCTGGAAGAGTACTTCTGGGCAACGGAATCTCTCAGCTCCAATGGTGATAACCTGTCCATCAGGCAGCTCATAGCTCTTCTCCACAGAGGAGCTGGTCTTTGAGGTCTCTAGCTCCTGTTCGTAGTCAAGGGCAATGTAGGCAAGCTTCTCTTTCATGTCTCTCACAATTTCACGTTCAGCAGTTGTGGTAAAAGAATACCCACGCTCTGTGAGGATCTTCATCATTGCATCAGTGAGGTCACGGCCAGCCAAATCTAGACGAAGGATCGCATGTGGAAGGGCATACCCTTCGTAGATGGGGACTGTATGGCTGACACCATCCCCAGAGTCAAGCACAATACCTATAATGCCGAGAAAATTAACCATATCCTTGGATAATGTATTGGCATAGCTTTGCTCAAAGAAAAAGAATTTGACTTCTGACAACCTATTTAGTAATGGATATTATATATTGGTACGTAAAAATAATGGGAAAAAAAGTATCCAAGATGATACTAGTAAGTTTTAACCAATTAAGCATATAGAAAAGATGCATAGGTGGAGAATATTGTGCGAAAGTTAATTACCTGTGGTGCGACCACTAGCATAGAGAGAGAGAACAGCCTGAATAGCAACATACATAGCAGGAGCATTGAATGTCTCAAACATGATTTGAGTCATCTTCTCACGATTAGCTTTAGGGTTGAGGGGCGCCTCAGTAAGTAAAACTGGGTGCTCTTCAGGGGCTACGCGGAGCTCATTGTAGAAAGTGTGGTGCCAAATCTTCTCCATGTCATCCCAGTTATTGACAATACCATGCTCTATAGGGTATTTCAAAGTCAAAATACCACGCTTTGACTGAGCCTCATCCCCGACATATGCATCTTTCTGTCCCATGCCAACCATCACACCAGTGTGACGTGGACGACCCACGATACTAGGGAAAACAGCTCTCGGAGCATCATCTCCAGCAAACCCAGCCTATTAATTAATAAGCAAAGCAACCAAAGTCATTGAAATGGTCAATGCAATTAGCATTCACAAAGACATAACAAAGAATCTGGGAACACAATGTAGAAAAATAAAATTTTCACTAAGAATAAGATCCGAACATGTTCTGTTATTTCTATTCTTCATTAAAAAGAAACATCATTGTGAAAATTTAAGAGCCATACAATGCCAACTGGATCTCCATCAGAAGGTTTTCAACGAATTGGTTATAGAAAACTATGAGATTGAAAAAAGAATTCATACCTTGACCATCCCAGTTCCATTGTCGCACACAAGAGGCTGAATATCCTCAGCATCTGCCATCTTTTATTCTGCCAAGAAAATGTCATTCCAGATTAGAAGACTTGTATGGAAAAACTCAAAAGGAAAAAATATATAGATATAGATCAGCATGTCAAATAAACAAACCAAAGATGAAACTAAAGACTCTTTTTCAAGAAAAAAAAAGGAGGAAAAGTTTATATTCCTTTGATCTGTCATGAGACTAATAAGTTTCCTAACCAAGTCGAATGAAAAAGTTTAAAACATATCATAATGGGAATTTCTAACTAAATAAAGCCCAAAAACACCTTTCAATGATCATTATGAAATTGCATTTCTTCTTGAGGTCTTAAATTCAATATCAGAAACTGGATTAGACAGTAATTAGAAAAAAATATAGACACAAGAAATCCCAATTCCAGATATATACAGTGGTAACTAAATCTTCATATAAACTAATAAAGTCAGAGCAGTCATTGACTCATCAGTCATCAGTATAACTGTTCACGTTAAGAAAATGATGCAAGGAATATCTCCATGAGTCCATGAGGTGGAAAATGTTTCTATTTAACAGAGAAGGAGCTGGCTGATACATAGGCATAGGTTATACATATCTCATAATTGCTACCATACATTACCAAAACATAGAGAAAACACCATGTTAATAGTAGAAATTTGGGATGGATTAGCGTAAGACACATAAAAAATTAATTAAGTATTATACTAGATATTTTTCCATCTTACAAGAGTATCAAGAGGAGATCTGCTAACAATTGGCATACTCAAGGCAAATATTTGATACATAGAAACAAGATTTATGGAGAAACGGGGTTAAAATTGGAAATGTTTTGTAATCAATTTTGATAAATTTTCCAGCTGAAAGTAATCATCCTTAGACCATCCGTCATCCTAGTTCAAGCTCAAAATGTACATATTCTTTATCAATGCTAAAATCAAATTATGACAGATATCAACCAATTAACTTATATGACTGGTCAGAAGAGCACCTATAAAAACTAATCTAGACAACCTAAAATCAATAGAAAATAGGAAATTTCAAAATAACTTTAAACAGAAACAATACTAATCAACCTAAATGATCAATTAACTTTATGTATTAAAACTACAACCAAGGAAGTCATAACACTCTAAAATGGTTTGAACAAGCAATTAGCAATATACAGATGCTAATCCATAAATAGTGAGCAAATATGTTCAAAAAAACAAATAACCAATAATTAACAAGCGATGATTCTCAGGTATCACACAAATATAGGTTCATAAATCTATATAGAACGTATCTGCCTGAACTAGTTTGCACTACCTACTATGCACCATTAGTCCAAAAAGGTGTCAAGTATTCAGGATAATGTATAAGGAAATTCATGAAGCAAACATGGCCAAGAGGGATTGTGACAGATGCTTGTCTTCCCCTTCTCAGCAAGCCAGCATCGTCTGATACACAAATCAAGAGGCAAAATGTGCATGCGTGGGTGATATAATAGTAAAAAGAACAACAACAACAACAACAACAACAACAACAACACTATTACAAAAGAATATGTACGAATAACCAAGTACACCTTTGGAACTGTAGTGAAAACTACTCCCGGTATGCAACACAGACGATGTCACGATAATAAAACAGAAGTCAACAAAACCATAAAAGGAAAACGATCAGCTATTGTGAATATGACTGAACCGATGTTTTTTTACTATCTCAGCTCAGAATCGGCGCATTAAAAATGAGAACCATGGGAGAGAAATGCAGTAAACGTAGAATGCAATCGACAAAATTCATGATTGAAGTACATTATCAATGACAGACGGACAACCAGGATTCAGGAAGACATCTGATACCTCTAAACCGGAAAAACTAACAACCTCAAGTTAAAATTATAAATCAGCCTAGCATTTCTTAACAACATCAAATAATTGCATATCTTCACCTTTCAATCTACTTTTTAAGTCCTGGTAACTGAAAGACAAAATATAATTATGAACAATCTCGAGTAGTATCATGCTAATTTATTCATAAGAATATTAGATAATTAGCAAGATAAGAAAAAGGTCGCAATAACATAAAAAACGAGACCATCATATACCTAAATTTAGAAAAAGCTAAACAATATCATTAGCATTTTGCAGTTGATGTACACATTTCATGCTCGGAGCAAGAAATAGATCGAACAAAATGAAGTACATGCTAAAATATCAAAATGTAGGAGGGAAGCGACCAAACATTTTCACTGCAGAGATCAAAATCACATGAATATCAAAATAAATTAAAAAAAAGAAATAAACAAGAAATGAAAATGACGTAATAATTACCGATCACGGAGAAGGAAGGGGTGATTGGTTTGGAAACCCTAGCTTAGGTCGGGGTCTACCCCTCACGTGTTTTTCCTTTTTTCTTTTTTTTTTTAAATTTTATTTTTTAGTTTTTTTGTGTTGTGGAAAAAAATAAAAGGAAGGAGATGGGGGGTTTTTAGGAGGGTTATAAAAGAGAGGCCCGCCTCAACGACGTTTGGATCCCCGTCTCACGCGCCGCCGGAATCTGAGCCCGGGGACCGAGTTTTCTGGGCCCACATCCCACACGCATGTCTTGTTTGTGGACCCCACGTATAACAACATACTCTTTTATTTTCTTTATTTATTTTTGTCATCTTTTAGTTTTAGGTTCCTTTTCTTTTCTACGTTCTGAAGATATATCATCGGCAAAAATGAAGTACAAAAATCATTTTACAGGGAAAAAATTATTGAGATAAATGTAAGAAAAATCTTTTTAGTACCCTTTTTATTGCATTTGTTTTGTTAACCCTAGGATATAGGGACGGGCAATGACTTCTTATTTTTCATGGCCCAATTAACTAGCATCAAATCCACTGGGATTGAATTAATCACTTTAAAAGTTCATCTTATCTTGTTACGTAATTATGTCATCAATTAATAAAATACAACGGAAGCTCATCTCACTCATGCCTTGCACATGCTAAAATATGTAGTTACTAGAGGTGTCACTCTTGAGTTTCTCTGTCCCACATACATCTCACTTATAAAAAACGAGCAGGCATCCTATCATAACCTCGCACCGTGTGGGGTTCTCATAGTCATAGCCTCGCACCGTGCGGGGTTCTCATAGCCACACAAGAGAGCAATAAATGATAAAACTACCCCCTTGTTGGTCTTAAGATGTGGCATAGAACCTTCCGCACCGAGGTTCTGATAGAATACTTACTCACAAAAATCCAGACCTTCGTCAATCCATTTGTCATTTTCATGTCAAGTTACAAACAATAGATGGTCATCAAATATGAGGAGCACAGCAACAAGTGCATGTAAGACGAAAATACTTAAATTCTGGTAACAACCAAACAAGCGATGCACAAGAGGTTAACTTACAAACTAAGCACGTCTCGAAGCAGAGCTCAGGCAACGATTGATCGGAGAAAATAGAACATAGTCAAAACAACAAGTGACGAGAAAACTTAATATCCGATAAAAATTTGACCAGGTTTCAATTTAAACTCCGCAAAACGCAACAAAAAATCCTGAGTACAGTTCTGGCAGATCAGATCATAATAATCAACACAGGAAAGAAACCAGACGTACAAGGTCTGTGCCTACGAAATAACCCTGCCCTTTGTCTTCAGAGACGTAGAAATCTCAGCATTTCTGTCGTTTTCTTGACACTGTAACCTTAATGTCCACTGACCTTTAAACTACATACGGTCCACAATTTAAGGTCCACTATGGCAAAAATGGACAAAAAAAATTAAGCAGACTTCTCAGTACCTGCTAAACTTTTCAGCAGCTAACATTTCTCCAAACATGAACAACAAAAATTAGATAAAAATAGGAAATAAGTGGTCTATCAGCCTCCAGGCTGCTTTACAGTTGCTCCTCTTGTAGCCCTCTTTCTCTTCAAAATCCCAGATTCTCAGGTCTCTATACGCTCTCTCAGTTTCTACTACTTGGTTTCTTCAGCTGTTTCTCTGATGTTGGCTGCTTTCTCAGCAGCAACATTGTCCACATCACCTTTGCTTTCACCATTGCAGACTGAAACAGACTCAGTTGCTTCAGTTTTGGTTGTTAGAGGAGCTATAAGATAACCATTTGATTTCTCTATCCCATTAGATTCGGGTTGTTGATGTGGAAGAAAAACCCCAGTGCCAGGAACTGGGAGTCTTGGAGGTTGACCTTTAGGACATGGTCCCGATGTCCATCCAGCTGAAGCTGACGGCAGGGGCACGGGCATTGGCACTGGTCCGGAGCTGGGTGCAACGAGAAGTGGCTGGATTCCATTGGGTGACGGAAGCATTCCAGAGTTTGAGATGACTACATATTGCTTCAATCCTTGTGGCCCATGAGCAAGGTTTGGTGGTCCAAGCGATGGTGGGCCCCAGGGTGCAGGACCTGGAGATGAGAATCGAGGATATTCAGGATGGCCGAACTTCTTGGATTGGGACTTCCCAAAGGTCAGAAGTACACGCCGTTCTTGTTGGGAGGGGATGGCACGCTTCACTTGGTGAGCAGTCTTTTGTTGCATTAAAAGGAGACTCCTGAATTTATATATGAGAGAGAGTGATAGCAATGTTCAGCAAAATCTGAGATGGCATTCAAATTCATGGTAAAAAGAGGAGTTGAAACTCGAACAGCATATTTGTATGTTCAGCAACATTACTACGGAACAATATATGGGTTATGGTATTGAAGTTCTGGTACATGATTATTCAATAGTTGAAGGTAAATGATATCAAATGAATGCTCCAGTTTTCTTGATATACATGAAGAAATAAGTAGTCTAATGGTGCTTTACTTTCTGTTTCAGTTTATCCTGTCTGAGAATCAGATAATTGTGTGACTCATGTTACAATCCATAGGTTCCTTATGTGGCAAAAGTATATAATTATTTATTACATGTTCATCTACACAATAGACATATAATACATTCAAGATTAGCAGGCAGGCTACATAACTGCATTTCAAGTCTTAAAATAGCATATGATGCTTTTTCAAAACTAGAGTAAGACATGGTCCAATCACAATGCACTGGTTATGGCAAACAAGAACTGGTATAACATTATTATATACATAGAGTAGGCATAACAAACAAAAAGGATACCTCACTCGCTATACATTGCGCGTCAAAGCTCTAAAATCATATGATATATGATGGTTGTGGCAAAAGCTAAGAGCAGGTAACTGTTCGCGCTTCTCCAACACCAAAACAAACCATACACACAAAGAGACAAATGTGCGCTCCAGTCAGAAAGGAAAGGCAGAAAGAAAACAAAATAACTCCACATATTGCAGCCTGTGTGTACCGCATAAGGTTTACAAAGCTACTTAAATATTCTTAAAATAGAAGAGCATGATATTTCAAGACCAAATAGCGGACTGTTAACCCCAAAGGGGTCCAAAAATAACAGGTGAAACAGCAGAAGAACAGGAATCAAAGAATCTCTCGCATTCACAATCCAAGAAAACTATAAAATTTGATAATCTAGATTCCTTACGATGACTCTAATCAGTAACAATCAGATCTCCATAAAACCTTATAGTGCATGCATCTCAAGTAGGGGTGCTAAACCGTATCCGTATCCGAGAAAATATCCGTAACCGTATCCGTTAGGATACGAATATGGTTACTCAAATCTATAACCGATAGGATATAGTTACGGATATGGTTTTGTAGTGAAATATCCGTATCCGTATCCGAAATATGCGAATACATATTAGTCATACTCTTATGATAGTTTCGATTCTTAGATTATGGATTTGTGGTTAATTTTGATGATCAAGATGTCTAATCTTAACTTTTTAATTATAATGGACATATTAACAAACTCTTTTGTATCACATGAACTATGTTTTTCTCAATACTATCTAGTTTTCTCATATCTGTTTTGTATCTGCATGCATATCCGCTTATATATCCGCATGTATATCCGTAACCGTATCCGATTTTAGCAGATATGGTTATAATTTTTTCTTACCGAGGTATATCCGCATCCTTATCCGTATCCGAGATGGGTAAGCGGATATGGATATGATAAGCATCATATCCGAGCCGTATCCGGACCGAATGCACCCCTAATCTCAAGTGAGCATAAGAAAAGATTATTCATTGCCAATTATCAATCAATTCTAGCATCCCACTGAGGTTTGGGTATATCCCACACATAATGTCTTACTCGTCTAGTGCATGTTACAAATGCAAATGAAGTACCATTCTTGAATAAGTACAGAATTCTTTTCAGAAATGAAGTGACATCTAATGTTTTAATGCTTACTAAATAGTAACTAAGGCTTCAAGCACCCATATTTATACTCTGGCATAATACAGTATGAAAAATTAATTATTGAGAAAATAGCATTCACAATACATCAATACATCCGTCTTATTTCTTCAACAGCATATATAAAGGAAACTATTTAAGCATTTACACATATTCCTTCCCAATTTAAATGTATATTGAATCGCTTTTTAGATGAAAGGGCATCATTTACTTTCCATTTAAACATGCCACATTCAGCATTGAACTAATTTTGCTTAATTATGCGTGTGTTGGTGTTGGTGGTGTTTTTTTCCTTTTGTTTTGTTTTGATTTTTTTCTTTTCTCTTTTCCTTTTTTTTCTTTTGGGTGGGGATTTTGTTCAGGGCGGCAGGGGGGGTGGCAGCCGTTGGGAAACTTGGCAATTAATAGCTTAATTACAGGACAGATAACACAATGAACTTTTGATAAACGTCCATAAGCTTATTTTATTAGACTAAACCCCCCTGAACTTTCGGAGTTAATTCATGTAACCCCCATGAGCTGTTTTATTTCACAAAATCTTGCCTGAAAATTTATCTTTTAATCCTCCTATTAGCACCATCAACTGAAATGTGTCGCTGGCAAGGGTCCAACTATTCACACTCCCAAACAGTAACTTTGGGGGTGTGTGAGGACTAAATTGCCCTTCTCCCAAACCAAACCAGGCCAAGTCCATTCCAGAAACACCCTCAACATCAAAAGGGCATTTTCGGCAATCCAACTCCCAAAATTACTGTTTGGGAGTGGATATAGCAAACGTGCGCTGGCAAGCACAGGCCAAAAAAAGATGAAAAATCCCTTTCTGGTCCCAATAAAATACCGGTTTATTAAAAATGGAAAATAGGTAACTTTTTGAGATTAGGGAATTATTTTCATCTTTTTTTGGCACATACTTCCCACAGGAAATGTTAGAATTGATGGTGCTACTTTGGAGATTAAATGAGAAAAATTTCTTGTGAAATTTAGCAAAATAAAACATTCCATGGTGGTTATGTGTAATAACTCTTACAAGTTCAGGGGAGTTTACTGTTATAACATTGATTTTTATTTTTTTTATTTTTTTTTTTTTTGGGGGGGGGGGGGGGGGGGGTGCAACTCCTCAAAAGTTCATGGGGGTTTTCTGTAATTAACCATTTCTAATGATATGAAACATTATGATTTCATATCTGCTAAAGTTGACCTACTATACATTTTTATGGAGAATATTTCAAAACAAATAACATGGATTATCACAGGCTTTGCACAAAATTATCACAAACTATTTTAATTAGTAAAAAATACCACAGAACTTTAGAATTAGCAAAAGACTACTACATGCTATTGAAAACGACATGGTAGTTTTATGATGCGCTTGAAACTAAAAGTCTCTCGTAGTTGATTCAAGGTAATTTTATAGAGCATAAATAAATATTTGTTGCATTTAATTCATGGATGTTTCTACAAGTTTGTGGGTTTTTCTACTGACTGGAAAGTTTGTAGTATTTTTTTCAAAGCCTTTGATTAATCATATATTTGTGAAAATTTTCCTATTCTTTATGACTTTGCAGAACTTAACTCTTCAACTTCATATAATGCTAGACTTGTTCAAATTTCCTTTTATAAAAGTCAACATTTTGGTGGCATTTCTGCACTATATACTATATTGTGTAAATGAAAGTAAATAGGTATCTCGAGCATGTAATATGAATAAAGGGTTGTATATGACGTGTGAGAAATGTTGTCTAAGAAGTGAATAGGGCATGTGACCTAACTGAAAGGATGTATTATATAATTGTAGAAATAATTTAAGTACATACATGTGTCTAACGAATGTCTAATAAAGTGTCAGTGTCCAACACAGGTCTGAATGTCAGATTGTCTGACATAGGTACGGCTTCAGGATGGGAGTATACGTGATACATAGGTGAGAGGAAATAAATAAGGACCATAATGTTAACTTGGATAACTTGTTAAACCTCACCTCAATGAATATGAGTAAGGCCTTACTATAATTTACTTATTGTAACTGATGAAAATTTTATATTTAAATAAAACTGGAAATTATACATAAGCCTTGGGATCTCAGTGGATTAATGCTTGGAGTGGTAACTCAAAAGCTGAAATATAAAGCTCGCTGTTTGAGAAATCCAAATTTTAACAAATAAAACAAAATATAGGTACCCAATAGAAAGTCTGTAAGAGCAGAATATTTTGTATGGACAAGATGCTGTATGGATACATCTAATATATGATGCACTAAAATGCATATATCATAGTGGGATAAAGGAAGACGAACCCAGATTTAATGGCAAGCTTGAGGGGACTTCTATAATTTCCTCTATGATCTCCTTCAATAATTCGACCAAAAACCATGTCACATGCCGTCAAAAATAGAGTGCAAACAGGTGTCCCATACCACGATGGCCAAAGATGAGGCTGTGAATGGTCACCCTAGACATAAGCACATATGTTACGCTTGTATGTTAAATCATTATAGTTAGCAAAGTTCAGAGCATCAATAACAGTTGCTTACCTCATTGAAAAAATCGATAATACAATAATCAGGCTTAATAGTCAAAACCTGATTCTGGATCAATAGATCAAGGGCATCCTGCAACAAGCTTGGAATAGCCTCCGCCTTCCGCTCTGAGAGAATGGGCTTTAAGATAATGATAGCACATTTGTACAGAATTCATTAATCGCAGAAAATGTTGTACAAGGAAGAACTTACCAGAAGAGTTCCCAGTTGTAGTTTCATCTAGTGCAGGTCCTTCAGCAATGGGGATGCCTAATTGGATCATTTCTCTCCCATGCCCTTTCATAGGCCTCTTGGATACAACAAAGGTACGCCCTGATTTTCATCATTCCAAAGAAAAGGTATTTAGTAATGCCAAACTATGAGAGGTCAAATTTATCCACAGCAAAAGCACAAAATTTCCTCATATGCAACTCTTTCTTAATGTTATAAACAACTCTTTTAATGGGAGGAAATAACACTACCAAGCCCAACCCCCACCTCACACCCTCCGCCCCAGAAAAAAAAAGGAAAAAAGGCAAAACAAAAATCACAAAGAAAAACCCCTCTTTGAATGGCATGATTCCAAATGGCATAAAAGATCGTAATTACTTATAGATGGAAGACAAAGTTCATGAGACTCCCTGGAAGATATATGAGCCCTTAGCATGCTAACAAAAACCAGTAATTCAACAATCCTCCTATAAATTTAGAAGATATCATGTTATAGAAATTCCTAAATTTTGTTCAGGTTAGATCCTTGAAGTATTGGAACAACGTAACTGAAGGGATGGACTGGTGCAAGAGGGAAAATAACAGATGTAAACATCTGAAAAGCAAGATAATATATCTCCTCATGTGTAACTCTTTATAAATACCAAACAACTCTTTACTAATGCCAAACAACTCTTTACAAAAATAAAAACAAAAAACCCACCCAAACCAACCCAAACAAAAACAAGAGGGAAAAATTCTCGAATGACATAATTCCAGATGGCCTAAAAGATTGTGGTTATACACGGAAGGGAGAGAAAGTTCATGAGACTACCTGGAACATGAGCCCTTAGCATGACTGACAAAAAAGAGAAATTCAACAGAAGAGTCTCTCCCTTATATAAATTTAGAAAATCGCCTATTATAATGCATATTTCTCACTAGCCCAAAGATTTTAGGGTATGATATATGATATCAGTCAACTATTTCATCAGATTGGCTTGCTCCTAATCTATAAGATAACTGCATCTACCCGAGTCAAATTGTATATTAAACAAATCATTCCAAATTCTTCACTGGTCGCTTAATATTTTCTTTTCAATATTTCAAATGTTTTTTTTTCTCAACCTTACAATTTTCCCCAAGTGTTAAGACTCCTGAAAAGGTCCATTATATAACTTAGACGTATGCAAATGATCCATAGACACAGAAAGATTGGTAATCATGTATAACTAGGCCTAAAGCCTCCAACTTTTGAAAGAATAGGATTAAGTTAGTAACTAATACTGTTCTAATTGCAGAAATAGATTGGCAAAAGCTGGTTAATCATATGAAGATCTTAAGATAGCAATATTAATACAAAAACTGTGACAAAAATAAGGAACAATGAGAGATGATAGCTTGTTGGATGAGAATATGAAAAAGGGAAATAAAGGAGTTCACCACGGAACTCTCTTTTATGACCAGCGGCTCTCAAGTTATTTGCTAACGAATTTAGCCTCGTAATCTCTGAACTATCAAACAACTCCTCAAAAAGTTGAAGTCCTTCAAACATATTCATCTGCAGATGTACATTCATGATTCTGTTAGCCTGTAGCATAATGTTAAAATTGAAATGTTGGTATTTAAAGTATCAAGAGCAAGTATTCCAAATAAATTAAAAGGCTTCAGCGTGTAACTTCTGACATACTTCCTTCCCGTCAATTATCTCATTCTCAACGAATCCTTTGGGTGTCGGTATAAGTTTCTGTGTTGCATCTTGATTTTGAATTTCTTCACCGCCTTGTGGAAGTGAATCTGTGCTGCTACCTAAAAGTGTACCAGAACCAGACATAAGATCCATTGCTATCGAAGAGAAATTAGCAAAAAGCTTTTTCTCAGTAATTACTGGGCATCTAAAATTATAATGGTGAAAGATAGGCGATCAAGAACCCAAAAATACGTCAGATGAAACAGTTAAAAGCAAAGTACCAAGAAGTAACATCTCAAAGAGCAAAAACTACCATTCAATATGCAATTATACCAGAGAATAATATAGTTAAGAAGCTCTTAGAAGATCAGTAGAAACAATTATACAAACTGTGGTTATGAGCCAAATCTGTAGACCAACATGATAAAATAATCTACCGTCCTTTGAGATTAGTCCAGAATTAGTAACTTCTGTAATTTGATCAAGGTTCAGAAGAAATCATGTTTAGGAGACTAGAAGCCTTTAGCTCTCAAATGTAAGTTGCCAATATCTTATTTCAGATTAAGCATGCATTGAAAACAAGTAAGCTAGTACCATCCATAATCCTAGTTGTTTAGAAAAACAAACAAGTAGCACATGTCACCGGCTGTGTAGGTGTTCTAAAGGGAATGAAATCATAACTCCATGAAAATACCAGAAGCGTTTACACAGGATACTCCATGTATATCATTGATTTCAGCTGTAAATCAAGATACTCCATGTCTATCATTGCAGAAATGAAAACCAGTGAAGATTAGAGGTTCAATAGAAAGATTCTATACTTAATAGGAAAAGTTATGTTACCTGGGTACTTCTAATCTGAAGCCATACCCGCACCCAAACTCCTTGGACACTCCTTGCATATATGCATACATTTATTCGGGCATGTACTCAATTATAAAATACATGTTTTGATTCAAAATACTTGTCATACAGTTTATGGAAATATATTCTACACTTCACATCCACGTCTTGGGAAGTGTTGGACACAGTTTAGGTTTTGAATTATGATTTTGAAGGATCGCTTGCATGTCTAGTTCAAAAACTAGTGATTTTCCAATTTATAATCCACATAATAAAAGAAACATAAAATATTATACGAATTTTAATTCTCATCCTTGTTCTCATATAAATTATTAATTCCACTATATAATATGTCTATAAATATTTATATAGCCGTGTGGCCGTACCCTAAGTTTTACAAATTTGTCATGTCCCGTACCGGTACCCATACCCATACAACATAGTGGAAAAGTATTAGGTAGACAACTCCAGAGAGGATTCCACATCGACATTTAATCATAAGAAACTGAAAAAGATTATTGAAAATGTAGGTATCAGTGAAGCTAAAGTCAATCTCTGGTTTGAGCTATCAGTTAAAGTGATTATGCCTCCTCTATGTCACCATCATCCAAACCAAGGAAGTTAAGTAGAAAAATTTTATACTTACATGGAAAAGGAATGAGTACACAGCTATAGATGAGGATTCAACGATGACATTCTATCATAAGAACTGTGCGCAAAAAATTAAGATTTTGGTATTAGCGAAGCTGAACTAAATCTATGGTTCCAGCTATCGGTTAAAGTGCTTATTCCTTCTCTATGTCATCATCACACTCTCAACCATTTGCTAAATGTTTACAAACCAGACAGAAAATTTCATGAAAGATTTTGACACAAATTTCCAATTAGATTATCAAGTGGGCATCCATCATCAGGGGCTTGGTGTCAAATTCATGCACATGAACATTATGAACGAGAGGGGCTTGCCACAAACCCTAGAAGGCTAGTTAACAGGCAGTGAATTTTATGTTATTGGTTTTACAGTTTTAGCTCATACAATAAAGGAGCAAATCCTCCTCAATTTTCCTTGATTAAGAGTAAAGAAAGAAGCAAGATGATAAATTGTATAGGCATTAAATTCACTTCGAACAAGATAAGGACTTTTCACATATCTGGATCTCAACATGGAGAGAAATGGTTTAAAATAGACTTAATAATTGAACAAATGCAGAATATGTTGTTCATAATAGGCAGTGGAAGTGTGGAAACATTTTAACATATAAACAGTTGAATGACCCCTGCTACAGAAAGCAAAATAAGTAGGCTTATTAGACCTTCATACGAAGTTTTTATGATAACAACCTCTCGACTTCTTGCTTTGTCCTTTAGTTCAGGAGAACAATCTTTGTCTCTTTACTCCAAAGCAAACAAATTATTGTTCAAGAATCCAAGCTTTTTACCTTTTTTACTGAAAAAAATTCAGTTATCTCCAACCATAGAATTTTACCTCTCGTACATGGGTTAGAGCAAGTTTCCACAGCTGCAGACTCCGACCTACTGCAATCAGTTGAAATTTTTGTGTCCTTAAGGCTGCTATCTGTCTCTGAACTGAGAAGATCACTACCCCCTGAAGAAGTTGAAATAGTGTACAAATTAGTGGTCATATCTCCCCTATTAGTTAGTTTAGATGTAACATATCCAAAATAGGCATTAAGTACAAATTAGTGGTCATATCTCCCCTATTAGTTAGTTTAGATGTAACATATCCAAAATAGGCATTAACATGTACAAAATTTTAACTTATCTCCCCTATTAGTTAGTTTAGATGTAACATATCCAAAATAGGCATTAACATGTACAAAATTTTAACTCCCTAGCAGGGACAGAACTGACCATGGTTCTATAACCCTAATTTTCTATACAGAAATTGCATTCTTTGGATCCCAAGTCCCCATAGCTTTTACAATTTGACATTATACAGTAAAGAAGTATTTGTTGCCAAACATATCCAGTTAATGATAATTGCATTCTTAGTTCTTAATTTAGAAAGAGAAATATTTTATACAGGATACAGGAACTGCATTCTTAATTAGAAAGAGAAAAATCGGAAATGGACATTATACAGAAATTGCATACTTTGGATCCCCATAGCTTGTACAATTTGTTCATTCATGGAACCTACTCTGTAGGCAACACTTGCTAAAAAATTTCTCTTTATAAATTAAGAACTAAGCTCAGATACTGCTTTCTAGAAACTCCGAATAATTTTCCTATTATTATGTAAACTACTACAGCTCATCAAATTCTTTGTTTGCAATGAGACGAAACTTAATAGTGAATCCAAACACATTCAGTTGATGAACCAACTAACAAAAAATGCATAAAACTAACAAAAAATGCATAAAACTATCTCCATAATCAAGAAAAGCTTAACCGATCATTTTTAAAAGACAAAAGTTCTGCAGCACCCTTTTTTTGGAGAGAAAGTTTTGCAGTACCCTACAATAAGGAATCAACAATTAGAAGCCAATGTGTGCCAAATATATCACAAAAACACCATATGTAGTAAACAATAATAAGGTTGCCATCAATAGAGGTTGCAAGACAATGTATGTAACGGATGCATAGGCACACTACATTAGCTTGCTGATAATTCTGGAAAAGTACATATCAATGCAATATACAATATTAACGTGTCTGTTATATGTCATGCAAAATACAGCTTCATACTACATGGTTCGTTGCTTCAAACTATGCAATTGCATTGACATGATTTCCAAAACAAAGAGGTGCCACCCCAAGCAATTTCTAAATAAGGTACCATATTAACTTAGACAGCATCTCAAATACCAAACAGAAATTAATGAAGCATGTGCTGACCAACAGATGGCTTCATAACAGAAGTGTATACGCTTTAGAATATGCAACGACAATGATGCGAAACAAAGAGACATGTACTCGAGTAATTCCCAAAGGTGGCATATTTAACTTAAAATGCATCTCGAATACTAAACAGAAATTAATTAATTGTGTGATGACGATCAAACGACTTCTTAATAGAAGTGTCCATGCAACATACTATTCAACAAATTAGCACATAAAATGCAATGCGTCTCAAATAAGGCATAGAAAGCAATGCTCCAAGATTTGGTCCTCACCCTCTTTCTCCCCAACAACAGGGGACTGCCTTCCATCCGGTACTTGCTCCTCGCCCGCTTTCCTATTTCCCGATCTATACCTCCCCCTCTCCCTAAAACTATCAAACCTATTCATGTGCTTATACCCCGATCTCTGCCCATCCTTTGATCTCTGTTGCATCCCCCTCCACTTAGTCTGCTCCAATGCATACACAACTTCCCCAATTGGGAAAAATTGCTGGTAATGTAGCACCGGACCCCAATTAGCCCTGCGATGGTTGATGCAGCCGATGACCCGATCATACTCCCGGGGATCGCCCGTGGACTGCAGGTGGTGNCTTGGGGCGCTGCCATTGTGTTTGTAACCATTAAATTACTGATCGGATCTTAAACAAGTGGCCAATTAGATTAAAGCTGGTAGCTTTTGATGGATATATCAAGAATCGAATGATCCAAAATGCAAAATGCAAAATTTCTCGACCACTAAGAGAAAAATCAGAATCGGCTCAAAAATCCTGCAAGAAAAATAGGATCGAGGGAGAGAGGATGAGAAATGCAGATGGCGATCGCCGATCAGGATCAAGATCTGAGTGATTCGCTGGTTAAATTCAACCTAATATCACCGCGATCAGAGAGAATCAAGAGATAATTTAGAGGCGGGGGGGGGAACAAGATCGGAGGAAGCGAAATCTGAAAGGAAATTGCTAGGGTTTTAGGGGGAAGGGAGAGGAGAGAGACTGTGACTTTGGGAGCACGCAACTTCACGCCTCTGGATAAATGCCTGCTCTCTCTCTCTCTCTCAGCTGCGCCCTCCCAAAATGCAGCGCTCTACAGAGAGAAAACTTTGGGCATTCGTAGGGGCATTTCGGGAGAGAGAAGGGAGAGGGAATAGGGAGGCGAGGAGCATTTTGGGAAATTGGGTCGAGACCGCTTGTTTCTGACTCGGATAGTCCCAGTCACAAAATGACAGAGCGGGACCAGTTTTGTGGGCCCGACGATGAGGGGTGAGCTCTAGAGGGGGTGCGTGGTATTTCGGGAGGGGTCGTTGGGAGCCTCGGGCAAGCGAGGGTATTTTGGGAAAGTCGGCTGCTGTTGCTTTCAACTCGGTTGGGGCAGGACTAGACATCAGCGTGGGACCCAAGTGCGTTTTCAGTACCCGCATAGTGATCACGTACGCTGAGTACGTAGCTTTCTTTTTTTTTACTTTTTTTGAGAACGCGGATCCGTGATCAGTGCGATCGATATAATTTTTTTTTTTTTGGTAAATGCTAAATATAATACAACTTATAATAATGTAAAGTCACGAAATTGTGAAGCTATTTCTCATGAGTACATGTAGAAACAGTATCTTATAGTCTTATACTTTTGTACATTGCAGAACATTATTAGTACACAAAATGTAATGTAGTTTATATCACCTATGTTTGGTTCAATTCCGTGTAATACACGAACAGGATTCCAAGGGGAAAAAAAATTGAGTTTCTTATTCATTTCTTAGTTTGGAAACCACGATGTTTTAATTGTTTTCACAGTGTTTTTGTCAAAAACAAAATATCATGATGTTTTTTGAGCTAAATCATCCCCAAACTAAAAACACAACACTTATTTCAAAACATCTTTTAGGTGTTTTAAGTTAGGGGGCTGTTTGTTTTGCTTCTTTTCCTCCTGATTCCCTGCCAAAACTGACAACAAACAGTCAGTTTTGGCAGGGAATCAGGAGCAAAAGAAACCAACCAAACAGCCCCCAGGTGTTTTGGTTTTGAGTTTGAGGATGTGTTAATATAATATCTAACATAATATATTAAATATAAGTAATATATAGTTATTATCAACATACTTATTATATTATAGTATATTATATTATAATTAATCTAATAGAAATAATAAAATAATATTATTTTAAAAATATTATATAATATATAACAATAACAAAGTGATATACCAAAAATAATTAAATATATAATTATTTGAACATAATATGTAATAATTATAATATAATAATTATTATAAAATAATATAACTTATTAAAGTATAATATAAAAATATTAATATATTATACACTAAATAATTTAATATATTATAAAGTAAAATAATTTTTAATACTAAAATAATTTACTGCTAACAAATGTTAACATAAAAATAATATATTCATAATATAATAATATTGATTTATATCATAAATTATTAAAGTATTATTAATAAACTCTAACATATTAGAAACTATAATATATGATATAATATTAAAATATTTGTAATATGTGAATTTATTAATAATGTAGTAGTAATAAAATAATATTATCATTATTAATAATATTATATTCTATTAATAATAGTATAATATTATATAAGAATACAATAATATTATTTTAAAAATATTATACAATATATAATAATAACAAATTGATATACCAAAATAATTAATATATAATTATTTGAAAATAATATGTAATAATTATAATATAATAATTATTATAAAACAATATAACTCACTAAAGTACAATATAATATTATAATACATTAACAATATTATATTATATTATATTAATACTTATAATAATGTTATTATGTAAACTAAATATTATAACATTTTATTTATAATATATTTTATTATAATTAATGTATAATATATTAATAATATGTTTAATACTAATGTTGTAATAGGTCAAACTAATGTTGAACAAAAACACTCAACATGGTGTTTTGAAAACACTTTAAGGGAAAACACAACACCATTGTGTTTTTTTTACAAAAACACAACAAAGAAAACACTATGGTTAGCAAACAATCACTCTTTTTTATATATTTTTTAATGCATTTTCTTAGCAATTCTGCCTTCAAAATCTGGAATTGGTTTTTTCCACCAACAATGATGTTTTTTTAACGTTTCTGATAAGTTTTTCCGAAGTTTTTTTTTTTTTTTTTTGAACCAAATTGGTGAATAGGAATCCATTTAGGTATTCTGACACCGAAAAACTGTGTAATCAGTTTTTCATGTACAAAACAGGCCCAGACTTTAGAGTCAATATTAGGAAAATTGTGCACGTCCTCATCACATGGTTTCCTGAGAACCACCTTTGATTTTTGCTTCCCAATACATTCATTATTTGTTCTTCGATGCTAATCACCTCATAACTCCCCTGCATGCAAACAAAAGCATCCTCAAGTAACTTATGGGGATAATAAAATGGTTGATTTGATTTGTTTTGATAAATTTTAGACAAATCAAACCGAACAGATTTATATTCTAAACTAATTCCAACCAAACTAAGCTAATTTGATTATGTTTGGTTTTGGTTTAGTTTATTAAGTTCGGATTTGGACTTAATTAGTTTAAAATTTTTAACGGTTTGTAACTATTTCACTCTAGGAGAAAAAGGCTTTGCTCAAAGACCGGTGAATTATATATGCACGGATTAAAAGATCAACAAGAAAAATAAAAAATAATATAATCAATTGAAATGCAACTAATATTGCAAGAGAGAGAGAGAGGAATTCGGGAATAAATGAAGAAAAGAAAAACAAATAGGTTAGAGAAATTGCAAAGAAGTCAGTTTAAATTGAAAATTTTTCGAACCAACAAAATTGAATGTGTTTAAAATTAAATGAATCCTCGAAGAAAAATTCCTCAAGGACTCAAAATATGAGATCAATAGAGGGGACAAGTGAGGTGTCTCCCTCCTATTGGATAATGAGTTGGCCATCATTAATGATGGCCAACTCATTATCCAATAGGAGGGAGACACCTTACTTGTTCAGCTAGTTCATTCTGTTTAATTTGTTCAAATGAATTAATGCTCACCCATGACCTGCAGACTGCAGTCTTACTTCTTCTAGAAAGAAATTGCCGTGGCCTACAAGTGACCGCATAACGTTAACATGCGGACATTGTATAGAGAGTTGAGGTAAGCACGCGGGATTAGTTCTGAGTGGGCGTCCATTAAACTGGGTGCCGTTTGAAAGGATTAGTTTTTTGAATTACGTTGCGGAGGGCATTCCGCTTTTTATGCAACGACTTTTTTGTTTTCAGCAATTAATTATAATGGTTCGCGATTAGGTCATTGTTAACTCCTTTTGACTTCCATGAATCAAACCAATGACTTGACTGGTCATTTTGTAAAAAAGATGGGAGTTATATAGTTCACATCTACCACATATAATTATATTGGTCATTTTATAAAACAGATGGAGTAATATTGTTCACATCTACTACGTATAATTAGGAAGGAAGATATGAATTTTACTTTAGGAGGTAATAGACATTAAATTTTCTACTGTTGCAGGACTATTTTTTTTTTTAAATAGTCTGGAGTTCTTTTTTTCCGGTAGGAGCATGGGGTTTAAACCTTATGTCAAACTTCAACTGTTCTCATCGGCCAGTGAGAAGTGAGAACTTCCCAGCCAAACGAACTATGCAACCTGCATTGGTACCCATTGTTAAGTATTTGGGTACCAAAGACCAGAAATTATCTAGATGACTAACATATGAAAAAGAGAAGATTTAAAATGCATCTCAATAATAAGGTGAGTAAAGTATATGCTGGTTTTGGTCGTGTAAAGAACGAAAACTGAAACAAATTCTGAGAGGTTGAAAACTCTCGGGTCGGTCGACCGACGGAGGAGATCCTGTCGACCGAAGAGACTATAGAAAACGAGCTCAGGAACTCACTCTGGCCGGTCGACCGAGAGTGGTCATCTGGTCGACAGAGAGGTGTGCGCCGGTCGACCGAAAAAGTGCTATATATATATATATATATATATATAGACACACACACACACTAGGTTTTATACACGTGCAATGCACGTGATTAAATATCATGATTAAGTATTTTTAGCTTATTTTATAACTAAAATTTGTTCCTCAGTTTTACTCTAATAGTTTATGCTCATTTTTGTCTCTAAACTTTAATATCGCGATTAGTTATTTTCTTTAATGTTTGTTTAAATGGGATACACCCAATTTAAATTTTCATGTTAATATTAAAATTGATAGAAAACAAATATAATTTGAAGCTAATTTAAACTTTTATATTATTTTGACTTACATAAAACCAATCTTTACTTAAGAAAATACAATGTTGTAAAAGTAAAAAATATTAAAATAGTGTTATACAAAGAAGGTGAATATTTAAAACCAATAAGGAAAAATAATTGCTTAAAAGTATGCTAAAATGTACAAAAGAGAATATAAATTTTGTCCCTAATCATTGATAGCCTCCATAAAAAATTATAAATTAAAGATTAATGCTAACTCTAGTATACTTTTATATGATAAAAGTATATGCACAAGCATATAAAAGTACTGAAAAAAGCTTCATTCTAAATATTTCTAAATTCACACAAAATAATT